ATCTTTTCCAAAATTATTGTCTTATGACTTGTACTGTAGCGTTGATCTGAGAACCAAAAGAAGTTTGAATTAGTGTTCTGAACACTGAATTAGTGTTCACTATTAACATAATAGAAGTCTGATAAAGAAGCTTTTTCTCTTAAGAAAACTTAATATATGGTATTTTTCTTTTAAGAAAATATTGTAATGAAGCCATTAAACTCATGTATTTGCTCTTTTTATTTGTGAGTACTATGTCTGTTCTGCTTTTGAATATTAAATTGTTCAATGCTAGTTCTGTTTGCACTCCCTAAGTACCTTTCTGGTTTGTGGGGGCGTGTATTTGAAAGCTTTCAGGTGGAGTTTCTGTCCAACTAACTTAAGTTCTGCACTTCTTCAAGGCTGCCAAAGACACCTGCTCTTTTCTATGGAATTAGGCATTAGTAGGGCTGATTTAGTAGGCATCTAAAATTTAGGTGAAAATGTACGTCCAATTTCGGCATATCAAGTCCCATCAATGCACTTTGGGGAACTGCACAGTATGAATTAAAATACTTTCCTCCAGATCTGTGGGAAAACAATGTTTCTTGCAAAAGAATCTTTTCCAAAATTAACTGTCTTATGACCTGTACTGTAAAGTTGATCTGAGAACCAAAAGAAGTTTGAATTAGTGTTCTGAACACTGAATTAGTGTTCACTATTAACATAATACAAGTCTGATAAAGAAGCTTTTTCTCTTAAGAAAACTTAATATATGGTATTTTTCTTTTAAGAAAATATTGTAATGAAGCCATTAAACTCATGTATTTGCTCTTTTTATTTGTGAGTACTATGTCTGTTCTGCTTTTGAATATTAAATTGTTCAAGGCTAGTTCTGTTTGCACCATTATTGCACCTGTCGTGCTAACAAAAACACTACTATGTGTGAGCTGCCTGAGTGATTTTAGCTATTGTTTTTAGACAGCAAGTGTATCTGTTCTTCACGTCAGCTGAATAACTGAGCTGCTGAATGCTGTGTCAGCATGCTGAGTCTCCCTTCCATGTCTCTAATTCACCAGCTCTGAGCATCCTTGACCTTAGAAAGTCCTTCCGTCTGACTACAAGCAATAGTGTGACTACTGACTGGGACAACATGTTGGCAAGCGTAATAATAGCTCGAAACACTGTGAGGTTAAAAGCAAACATCTAAATGCATTTGTCCAAATGACAAAAAATGAGCCACAATTTATGAAGTCTCACGCTCACCTGCAGTAATTGGTAGAGGAACAGGCACTTTCGGACTTTTGCTTTTTGTTTCTGATTTTCTTTTCCTCAAATCTTCCTTCCTTCCTTCCTTCCTTCCTTCCTTCCTTCCTTCCTTCCTTCCTTCCTTCCTTCCTTCCTTCCTTCCTTCCTTCCTTCCTTCCTTCCTTCCTTTCCTTCTTTTTCTTTCCTTCTTTCAAAACAGAAACTGGTGTCTAAATTTAAGTAGACTGCAGGAACTGGGAAAATAGGGCATCAGATTTTCTAATGTGTAGTAACAAGTTTTGTGACATCCATCCTCAAATTTATAAGGATTTTTCATGAGATTTAGACTGCTGTATTGGTCTAATGGATTATAAAAGCAAAAGAGGGAAAACTAATTATTGTCATGATTTTGGTGACCAGAGTTGTCATTTAGAGTTACAGAGGGATTCTCTTGTTCCACTGACAGCAGCCTGGCTATTTGGGTGAATTCTGTGCTCCTCCTATGCTCCTAGTTTAGAGCTAGCCAACACATGATGCACATGATACATTGCTTTAAGGAAGACTTACCTCTGGGAAGAACAGTGGAGAATGGGAGTTTTGGTAACCAGAAAGAGGTTGATATGAAATAAAACAAGACATCTCTGCTTTATTTTTTTCTTAGCTATAGAGAAAATGGACTTTGACCAGACACGAGCTCTTTGTAGGAATGTTATTCCACTAAGTTGAAAAGCTCTCTCATGAAAGACATGGCTTTTGGTGCACTGAGCTTCCAGGAGAATGCTTCTCTAGATCCTCGGCTCCAGGTCACTAAAGATTATTCTGTTTAAAACATTTGCCACTAAAACGTCAAACCATTAATAACAGAAGCAAGCAAATCATATACCACCTGTGCTTTTACTGCGATTATGAAAGACTTAATGCTGACAAAAGCTTAGAGAGAGCATGCAGCTGGACAGCCCAGTGAGCCTTGGTCCGTATCAGACCATGTGTAAGTTGCAGGTGAAGAGCTGGAAATGGATGCTGGCAATTTGGGAGGGCATTGCAACTAATCTCCATCATTTAAATATAGGAAGAGGTTTTCCAAAAGACCGAAAAGAAAGTCAGATTTGGCTTGAGTCATTGGCAACTTCCAATAAAATTGCCCAATGGGAGAAGAACTGGTTAAAAAGTATCTGTATTGAAATGGGGAAATGAGAATGGTTTTCACAGCAGAAGGTCTCTGCAGTCTTCATAGCGAGCTGCCAGCTCACTCCATGCTGCATATGTAGTGGGGTTTTCTTGGTTGATCATTAGGCGAATGCCTCAGCTGCTTGTACAAATGGTTCTGAGTAAATCAATGAGATTTTCTAAACACCAGCAGTTAATATTTCAACAGGCAATTGCAGAAAGAATTGCTATGTCAGGCTTCATGGCTGAGAGCTACTGTGCTTTTTGAGAAAATTCTGTGCCTGGAAAGTTTTTAGACCACCTCATTTCAATCCTCTGAAAAAAAGTTGGTTTAAAATCAACTTTGAAATGTTCCAGAGTCACTGCATGCCTCTCTTTTTGATAGTGCTTTTATAGTTTGGCAGAATTAAACATGAAACAAGGATGGTTTCTACCCCCCTGGCAAACCTCAGGAGGAGGGTTCTTCAGCTCTTGTAATGTGTAAAACTGTGTATTAGGATATTAGGTCATTACTGTAATTTAGGTCTTTCTGAGATACTTCTTGATGGATGCTGGATTTACAGAAACATGTTCACAGATGCATGGATTTATTGTTGACCTTTGAGAGGAAAGTGGGCTTTAGGGCATGCAGTTCCCTTCGCTTTGTGCAGCATTTTTCAAATTCCCAGAAAAAGTCTGCTTTGCAACATCTTCAGTCCAACAGCAGTAAAAGAAAACAAACAAACAAACAAAAAAACACAAAATTTTGCACTGTGGTTTGACTTTTGGCAGCATATCTTTTGAAGAAATAGCTTGATTCTGCTGGAAAAGGTATGCCAGAGAAGCACAGAAGTTTCTTTTAGCTCTCTCTCTTTCTCAACACACACGTCTGCCATCTTTGCCCCCACTTTCCTAAATACATCTATGTCACCCAAAGGACATAGTCCTGGGCTTCTGGCCAGTATCCTGTGCTTGAATTCCCACACAGAAAAGCATTTACCTAGGAAAATAATATGTGGCAGCTGGTAGGCACAATACTACCTTTACTGCCAGAATGCAGTGATTCTAAATGAAGCCAAGTGGCAGATGGCCTAAAATGTTTCAGTGCTTTCTTTCTCTAGACCAGGATTACCCAATTAATTTGGACTGTGGCAGGCTGGTTTATTTTAGCAGGTCCCCCTTCAAAGATAGGACGCATGTGATCGCCGTGGTGCTGCTGGGCCTGTCAGGATCTGCAGGGAAAGGTGGAATCGCCGCTGGGCGGCAGGTCCTGGTGGACCAGGCAAGGGGGGAGGAACATGGGGCACCAGAGACACCTGCTGGTGGGGGCAGGTCACATGTGTTCATGGCTCAGATTGTGACTGGAGTCCGCCATCTGCGTAGCCCTCTTTTACATGAAGGGTGACATTCTGCTTGCCAAAGGTGCTTTTATGTGAATGACACCCGCAGAGGTTGTTTTATGTTACTGTTTGCTGAGTGTTGTCCTTAGGTGCAGTACCCAGTGGGTATAGACACAGGCCTTCCAGTTCATAAAAAGTTCTAGAACAGTCTTATCCCGATACTGCAGTTTGGAGGCAGGGAAGAAGATAGAGACAGGGATGAGGATTCAATCTCAAAGTGGAACAGATCTTTTTGCCCATCTCTCCAGTGCTTAAATTGAAAGCTTTCCTGTAAGTGTTCAAATGATATGGGGGAAGAATGGAGGAGAACAAGAAGTGTCTTGCATACACAAAAATAAGTTAAAAGCATAGATTTTAGCTGAAAGATGGCTACGGCAGGAGTGAAAGGAGAATACCAATGAGCAATCTCAGGAGGAATCTCAGACAGCAGACTGGGTTATGTGTTATGGCCTTGATAGTGAGAAAGGAAAACCTGAATTTAAAATACTTGAGAGGAAAGCAGCAAAGTGTCTGGGAGAAGGGAGGCAAGGCTGGAGCAATGAGGAAAGAGAAGATACATTTCATGGGGTCTAGAAGAATGGGTAGTAGAGAGAATTCAGCCAGTAGCAGCTTTCTGTTGCTGAGATCAGTAAAACCCAAAAGAATAAACAAATTGTTGGTTCAGCAAGTGCTGATGCATAGGCAGAATCAGTGTAGCTTAGTGAGTATATATGGGATGCAACAGGGAAGAACCAGAAGTTACATCAAGACTTGGGGGGTTTTGACAGAGAGTGGCATCTTTACTGTGACAGACTGGTTGTGAGAGACAAATGAGCAGCTCCATTTTAGGTTTATTAGACAGAGTGACTTTGAAGTGTAACTTAGTAAATACAGTCCACGAAACCAGAATTAGGCCAGCTGCATATTATTGGAGTAGCTTAAGGAAAATGTCCTCGTCTGTTCTCTCATCTTCTCTGGGTACATGTTTTCCCTTGGTTGAGAAAAGTCAGTAGAATTGCATTTAAAGGTGTTGTCACTTCACAGTCTGTCACAGGGCTTTTGCCAGCTCCCTTCAAAAGGAGCTGGTGCTGAAAACTGTGCCAGCTGGTTCATCTGATCATCCAGTCACTTTACTAGAAAATCTAAATATTCAGCAGTACGAATTGAAATATGTCTGCTGTTCTGTTTTGTAATTATTCTGCGCTTGTATGAAGAACTACTTTCACATTAAAGCAGTACTGAAGCTCTCTCTATCTTTCTGTTCTATAGGTTGTCATTTTGTATTTTGAGCCAAGCGTATTTCGCTGTGTTCTCCTAAGATGGGTTCGTCTTCTGGGCTTTGCTACTGTTTATGGAACTGTGACGCTCAAGCTGCACAGGTATTTCACATATTATTAATTTCCATCTCTGTGGGAGTGTGTACAATCTGTGTGGGTACTCAGCAGCAAGAGCTGCAAATATTATCGTAAACAATAGTCTTTTCTGATTTCTAAAAACAGTGTTTATTTTTTCTCACTGTTCTTGGTGAAATTAGTTGCCCCAGTAGAGGACTATAAATGCAGAGTATTAATAGTAATGGCTGCTCAAGGAGACTATGTGTCAGAAGTGTTGAACTGGAGCTCCAGGGTTTAAGAAAGAATTTATACATCAGGTCTAAAATTGTGCAAAAAGTTTCATTTCACAGCAGGGGAGTGTATTTTACTTGAATATAAAAGAATGTATAATATCTTAGCTTGCCCTGTAAAGTGTCCATAGAGATTTTTTTCTTAAAGTGTTCAGGTACAGTGATGGTGGTTGAAATAGATCACACAATAGTATATATACTTACTTTGTGTTCTTCTAAGTCAAGGGCTGCTTTCTTCAGGCACTGACAGCAGATAGGCTACACAGTCATGAACATCAGCTCCTGCCAGCAAAAATGTGTGGGAAATTCTGGGTTATGCTGGGGGAAGTTCCCCTGCGTTGGCAGCACATTCAAAAAAGATTCAGAAACCAAGATTCAGAGACCTATCTTCAAATCCCACCCCTGCAGTTTAATAAATTCAAGCCTTTTCTGGGCATGCTGGATAAAGTCTTGCTTTTTCCCTTAGTGAAGTGAGTAAAGGAGGGAGGGAAGTGCTTCTCCTCCTCACTTGGCATTCATTAGACCATATCTACAATACTGTTGGATCAAGTTTTGGACCCACCAAGACACAGTGAACTCAAAGGATTTCGGCCACAAGGTGCTTGGGGGACAGAGCGCTTGCCCTGCAAGGACAGTCTGAGAGAACAAGGAGGCTTGTTCAACCTCAGGAAGAGAGAACTTGAGGAGAACTCAGCTGTTGCCATCCAAAATCTGCAAGTTGGCTACTGAGAAGTCAGAGCCTGGCTCTTTACAGCAGTATATATTGGGACAGCAAAAGACAATGATCATGAATTGAAAAGACAGATTTCAACTTTATATATGGAGAACATTTTCGCTAAGAGGGGAATGAAGCAGTGGAACTGGTTGCCCATTAGGTTGAGAAACTCTGTGTTTGAAAGTTTTCGACTATCTGGATAAAATCTTGAGCAACTGGGTCTGAATTCAGTGCTAGCCCTGATTTGAGCATTAGATGACCTTCTATGGACATTTCCAACCTAATTAATTCTAAATTTCTATGTAACATACTGGGAGAAAAAAATACTATTTCATATATTAATATGGAATTACTTTCTCTCAGAATCTTACTTTTCCACTGGGATTTTATGACCAGTCTTTCCTACATGTGTGACATTGCAGGCTTTTTTAGTTTGAAATATTTCACATGGGGTGTTTGTCTTGCAAAAGACTGAGTCAAAATAGATATATGTTTTATTTGAAACGATTTTGTTAATTCAGAATAATATGAGGTTCATAGAAAAATGGTAGGAATTTTTGGCGGATCGAATTTAGTCCCCAGTCATTAGAGCATTGAGGAATGGTTCATTGCATGCACTGCAAATACTCATGACAAACATTGATACCTCCTGCAGGTGGTTTGACACTTTACTGGGGGGAAGAGTTGGTGTCAGTAAGGACCTGGTGATTTTGTTTAAGGAGGAATACCAGTATGTTGTAGAAGAAGCTATTAATGATAACCAGAAAGTGCAAAGCTGTATTTCTCAGCAAATGAGGTGCTTCAAACAGCGCTGAGGCATAAAGGTTACCCAAAGCCAGTAGGAGGCAAGAAGTGACTCAGCTAAAGAAACAGGGAGACAAGAGTAGGCTGGAGACTCTCCAAATGACCAAGCCCGATCTGATCAGGTGCTCTAAGAGAAGATGAGAGCGATACAAATATCCATAACGTGCTTGTTGGGTCTACTGTGGAAAAGATGGTAGAATGAAGAGCATCAAACAACATGGTAAAAGTTGTACCGGATCATCTTGACTCAAGGTCATCTCGCCCGGTAGCCTGTCTTCCCAACCATGCTCCTTTCCAAAGTGAGAAGGAGAGCCTGGCACAGATGTACAGTGAGTGTAACAAGTTGTAGTCCCTCCTGCGGATCCTCCAGAACTTGCACTGAGATTCTGGCTGCACACTTCTCCTCACCCTTTTAAGCTTTATACCCCCATTCAAGGCCTTGCTGTGTTGCAGGACCTTCTCACACCAGATGGCCCTGGTCGCTGTGTGGCCCTGCTCTTTGGGCAGGGCTGCTCTGCTCAAGTCTCTGTCTTTGTGTTTGCTTTGTTTCTGTTTTATTTTTTGATTTTGGACACTTTTATTTTAACATTCCTTCATTTATTTCACTTGTTGTCCCCTGAAAACTTTTAATGTCTCCATGGTTTGCTTTCAGCTTCCCACTTCCCAGAGAGAGCTTTGAGATTTCACTAGGGTCAGGCAGCAGAGAGAAATCTGTAAAGTAGCCGCGAGCAGATGCTTAAGGAAGAGCAAAAGAACAAGAAAGGCATATACTGACACGTTCAACCCATCCTAGACAATTTCTAAAGTGCCTCATCTTAAATCACCTCTTTCTTGTTCATTGTGCATTTTAAAAATAATAATACAATGTTTACAGGAGTGGGGGAGAAAGGAAGTGAGCTTAATTTAAGAAATTTTACTGTAGAGCTGTGAACATAGGACTCAGCAGTCACATCAACAATGAATTTCTAAATTATCTCAATAAAGGATATTTCAAATTCAGCTTTTTGGGTTTAAAAGAGCTGCTGATATTGCATCTTTCAGTGTATTTCTCTGACTGAAGACTCTGCCTTTTTGAGCTCTCTATTTTAAAAAAGCAGGTTATCTCCTCATTTTTAATATTTTGTGAACTTCTATCATCTTAGTTACAGGATTAATACAGAATTCTTGGTTTGGGATTAAAGCAGAAGAATGGAGGATAACTATACACTATAAATATATATATGTATACACACATATATACATACATAGGAGAGCTTACCTATGTTTTATCTGAGTAATTACAGACTGTCCTTTCCTGGGATCTCTAATTCAAGGCAACCTCTGTTTCTTTCAGTACTAAAACAGAAAAGGAGAGCGGGGAAGAGAAGCAGGGGAGAAGAGGGTGGAGATTGTAATGTTTCGGGTATGGAAAACAAGACCCTGATACACAATAGCTTTTCTACAAGTGGTGTTGGTCAATTTGGGAGGCTACTTGGTAGGGAAGGGGACAAGGATACATTAAGCCTGTGAGGCAATTCTGCACTTCATTTAGACGTTGTGCTAAGATTACATTGCTGCGTTTTACCATCTGGTATAGTGTAACGCTTTCATGCCATCTTTCATGCAAGTCACTGGTCCTTCCTACAGATCTCTGTAGGTGCTAAAGAAATTGGAAGCGGGAGAGATACAACAGTCTGAGTAGTGTGGAGCACAGCGTGGGGAGTACCCATGCAGCATGGCTCATATCCTAAAGAAAAGGAGATTCATGCTAGCAGAGAAACAAAAATGATGTCATTCTGTTTCTTGAAGCACGTGGGAGGAGGTGTATGTTGACTGTGAGAAAAGGAAAGAAGAGGAGAAGGACACACGGTGTAACCTCCTGTCATAATCAGGGGTGGTGGGAAAGAATATAAAGATGATTCTACCTAGAGGTGGCTGGTAGGGACTTGGTGCAGAGAGCTAGAGAAAGTACCATTGCTGGAGCCTGTACAGCAAAAGGGGAAATAAACTGAGGCAGAATGGCCTAGGAAATAGTGGCATAGGCATGGAAAGGTTTTTGAATATTTTTTTCTGGTGCTGAAAAAGATTTAAAGGAAGGCCTGTGGCCTCTGAGATCATTGTTCATGTCAGAAGAAGCTGTGTAAACTCTTAAAAATCTTGGGTGCAATTGTGCCGAGGAACTGTGGCTGACTGGCAGTTGCGAAGCAATTCTCTTTCATGTCTGAATGTCTCTGGAACCTACCTGCCTACTTTGGAGATGAAGCGGGAAAGATAAAGAGCTAGTGACTCCCACCAGCTTGTGACGTTTGTAATTTGGTAATGATGACTGCTTCCATTCTTTCTTACCTGGACGGTGTATGTTACCCCTAAATACCTTCTGTGGAGATAAGTGGAACTACTTTTTATTTCTCCTGCCCTCTGGGAATGAAGACTTCCTTTAAAAGCCTCCTAATTCTGGTCACTTATTTGAGAACATCTGGTCTTATTTCCCTCCAAGGCCAGTACAGGGAAGGACATGGTGCTCCAGTGATGGAAGAGATGCTTCTCTCCCTGCACTGATAAAGCACTGAGGGGAGTCCCCAGCAGCTAGAAGTATTGCTTAGGTGATTTACTGAAGTGCCTTAAGCTTAGATGGGACAAAAAAAAATGTGAAAACCACAGAACAAAGAATCCAAAGTCTTTGAATCAGGAAACCATTGGAAGATAGCTGAGGTTCTGCTTGCAACCTTGTTTTTTTGAAGGGTTTTTTACAGGACCTATCAAGATACCAAGTAGCTCCTAGAGACCAGCTAGGAACATTCTCCTTAAAAGGTTCCTAGATCAGATTCTCTGTTTTATCCACAGTTTGTGTAAGGGGTTACCACTGCCCAGCTGGTTATTCCCAGCTCTGCCCTTCCCATAAAGGCAAACTGGTCTCTGCGCCTGCAGACTCTCAGAGTCTTTGTAAACTTTTGAGTCATTTCTGAGGCTCTTCATTCTGTTTTGTTCTCAGTGGATCCAAAAGCAGCCTAAATAAGGCAGCAGAGTTCACTATCATAATCCCATGGTCAATAGTTCACTGCTCAAAGTGCCAAGAGATCATAGTCCCATAGTCCCATATGCTGTATATGTTTCCTTAAACGGGGAGTGCTGCAAAGGCAGCAAGGATACCAAGCAACAATGAGCATTTTAAGGCAGAGAATTCAGGAATAGTAGTAGGCACAGGCAGCCTTGCACACATTAGAAATTGCTGACTTCAGGATGAGAAGGTGGGATTC